GGACCCGAAAAGGGTGTGATCCACCTGGCGCTCGGCGCCGTCGTCAACGCTCTCTGGGATCTCTGGGCCAAGACCCTGGGCAAGCCCGTGTGGCGCATCGTCGCGGACATGACGCCCGAAGAGTTCGTGCGCTGCATTGACTTCCGCTACATCACTGATGCTATCACGCCTGAGGAGGCTGTCCGTTTGCTGCAGGAGGTCGAGCCTGGTAAGCAGGAGCGCATTAAGGAGGCTGAGGCCAGTAAGGCTGTTCCGGCTTATACTACTAGTGCGGGTTGGTTGGGGTATAGTAAGGAGAAGCTTAAGTTGTTGTTGGATCAGAGTGTTGAGCAGGGGTACAAGCATTTCAAATTGAAGGTTGGGGGTGATTTGGAGGATGATAAGATGCGCTTGGCTATTGCCCGTGAGGCTATTGGGTATGACAAGGGGAATATTCTTATGGTTGATGCTAACCAGGTATGTTCTTTTCATTCCATTCCATCCCCATCACCTCCATGTCCATTGCATCCGAGCTAACATATAACCAACAGGTCTGGTCCGTCCCCGAGGCAATCACCTGGATGCAAGAACTAGCCGAATTCAAACCCTGGTTCATCGAAGAGCCCACCTCCCCCGACGACATCCTCGGCCACGCCGCAATCCGCAAAGCCCTCTCCAACACCCCCCACGGCCCCGTCGGCGTCGCCACAGGCGAGATGTGCCAGAACCGCGTGATCTTCAAGCAACTTCTGCAAGCCGGCGCCTTGACAGTGCTGCAGCCAGATGCCTGCCGCGTCGGCGGCGTGAATGAGGTGCTCGCCATCTTGCTGCTGGCGCGCAAGTTCGGCGTGCCTATTGTGCCGCACTCTGGTGGTGTTGGTCTGCCTGAGTACACTCAGCACTTGAGCACGATCGACTATGTTGTTGTTACGGGCAAGAAGAGTGTGCTTGAGTATGTTGATCACTTGCATGAGCACTTCGTGCACCCGTCTAGTGTGCTGGATGGATACTATGTTACTCCTATGGAGCCTGGGTATAGTGTTGAGATGAAGGCTGATAGTATGGATGCCTTTGAGTTCCCTGGGCAGGAGGGGAAGAGTTGGTGGAGGTCTGAGGAGGCTAAGGCGATTATTGATGGGCCTCGGGTTGTATAGATTTGGTGATAAATCAGCGTGCATTTTGTGATGTCGTTATGTGGTTTCTTGTTAATAATTTTATAAAAATTGTCTTGCATATTGTGATTTTTTTGAAATGCATTGTGCCGGGCTGCCGGACTTGTAAATATTTGGATCGCTGCTGCGGTCCGTTAAGACTATAATACATCGCACAGGTCATCGGAGCCTGAGTGCATGGCCAGCGGCCGATTCCTAGAAGTTACAAAAAGGTACCTTATCCAGACTGGTATGGGCAGATCAGTCTTGGGATAGGAACCAGGAATATAGTTCGAAGTTCACCATAAGTCACATTTCATCAATGAGAGGCCATAGATCTTGTGGTGACGGTGGGAGGAGGGTATGATGACAAATTTGGAGGTGAAGGTGATGTTCAGCGCCACTGCATACCAAAGAGCTTCAGGGTACTAGCCACATTGGGTTTCTCCGAGGCCTTTTCAAGGACAACACGAGAGTGTCCCTTCACATCGAGCGCGAGAAGCTGGTACTCGAGATTGCTCTTGTCCAAAGGTTTCATCATGTGCACGATCACCACACCGGAGTTAAGAGGGCCCTCGACCTAAATTCATAGTCAGAATTTTTGTCTTTCTCATTTGCGGGGAGAGCGTCATACGTGGAAATTCATCCGCAGATGCTCACGGCCTAATCGATCTTTTTCGACGGTTGTCCTAATCATCGTTAATACCTCCGGCCTAGTTGCACAAATCATACACTCACGCAATAGGCCTGTTCCGCGCCCACCGACTCCAGGTGTTTTCACCATATGCTTTGATCTCTCTGCGATCACCAAGCAGCTTTATACACTCGGGGTCATCCTTGATGCGTTCAACTGCTTTCTCAAACTGCCATGTCTTGCTGTTTGGTGAGAATAGTTCGAGATAGAGAAGTGTGAACACTCCACCCTGGTAATATAGTCAGCACCTGGAATTTGGCGCTCAACTGGTTGAGATTCATACCGTCAGGACTGCTCCGGCCAGCACAATGACGAAGTTGAAGGACTGTTGTGTTGCGCGCGCAACCTTCTCTCCTCCGCTCAGATCACCCCACTGCACCCGTCCATCGTCTGACAAAACTGTAATACTCTTCTTTCTTGATGTTCCTGTAGGTCGAGGCCCGCGACCTAGGTCGCTCTGGGTAGCATAGTGCCGAGCGATCTGTGTGCGGGGAGACTGGCGGAGGAAGTACGCAGGAGAGATTCGAGGAAGAGCGCGGACCTGGAGGTTATTCATTGTGAAAGACTCAGCCCATGGAAGTTGAGGCAAGGTTGGCGTTATCGCCGTCGCTATCTTCATCGGCATCACGTGCGACGAGGCTCGATGGGGAAGTAAAATACGTAATTACATACAGCGAGTGGAGGCGTTGCAGGCGGCAAACCGGGGGGCGACGTAACGAGAATACCAGGAACTTTGAACGGTCTCAGTCCAAGTCCGACCACCTCTCCGTTTCCGACGCTTTTTGTCTCTAGGGCACATTTCACAACCACCCTTTTTCCTTGTGTTCTCTTCCTGACCTCTCCTCTGTGCCAACATGAGTGCCTCCAAGGCGCAGTCTCAAAAGATCTTTGAGAAGATCAAGCTGAAGCCCGCGAACAAGGTGCGCAGAACCCCACCCCCGTACGCTGCATGGTGGCACTCGATTCTAATGTCTCTTGCTTCGCTAGGTATGCTTCGATTGCGGTACCAAAAACCCGACATGGTCCTCCGTGCCATTCGGTATCTACCTGTGCCTTGATTGTTCGGCACACCACCGTAACCTCGGTGTGCACATCTCCTTCGTGCGATCAACAAACCTCGACCGTATGTACCTACGACACAATTCCTCCGTTCTCTATGCTTGTCGGTAGACCAACGCTGATTTTCTTTTCTGTACAGAGTGGCAATGGGAACAGCTGCGGGTGATGAAGGTTGGTGGCAACGAGTCTGCGACCAAGTACTTCCAATCGCACGGAGGCTCCGCTGCGCTCGCAAGCAAGGACACCAAAGTCAAGTACACGTGCAATGCAGCTGTCAAGTATAAGGAGGAACTCAAGAAGCGCGCTGCGCTCGATGCGCAACAGTTAGTGGGCCCCAATTTCTTTGGTGGAACTGCCACGACTAGGTACTGACCAGTGTTGTTATTTTGTTTAGGTATCCCGAGGAAGTCATCATCACAGATCTCCCCGCTGGCACTCCCTCCGATGGATCGAACACTCCTGCTGGTGATCCAGATGACGACTTCTTTTCCTCGTGGGACAAGCCCTCCATCAAGCGTCCGAGCAACCCCCCGTCGCGCACCGGCACACCACCCGTTGTCAGCCGAACCGGTTCTCCTTTCCTGAACGCCGGCGCGAATGCAAACGGATCCCGCTCAAAGTCCCCCCTGTCTGCTTCCGAAGAGAAGAGCGCATCTCCCGCGCCGACTGCCATTCGGTCAAACCCTGCTGCCCGCAAGACCACTACAACCAGTACCGCGAAGAAGGGCAGTGTCCTTGGTGCCAAGAAGGTGCCCAAGCTTGGAGCTAAGAAGGTCGCCGCTGCTGATATTATCGATTTCGATGAGGCCGAGCGCAAGGCCAAGGAAGAAGCCGAGCGCATCGAAAAGCTTGGCTACGACGCCGAAGCTGAGCAGGCCGAAGCCGAGGCCAAGAAGGCTGCCACTGCTGCTGCCGCTACACCGCTCCCTGCTCCAACCCCAATCAGCCCTGCTGGCAAGTCCCATGAGCGAAACTCGAGCGATGTCGAGCGGCTAGGCATGGGTATGGGCAGACTTGGCTTTGGTCAGGTCTCGAAGCCTGTTGCCCCTAAGAAGCCTACTTTTGGCTCCGTTGGCCCTGCCAAGCCCAACCCTGCTGATGGTAATATTCCCATTGATATTTGCGCTTGAGCGATGTGCTGACCTTCATATATAGACGAAGAACTCGCTCAGACCAGGACCCGTTTCGGTACCCAGAAGGGTATCTCCTCCGATGAATTCTTCGGACGGGACCGCTTCGATCCGGCCGCTCAGTCGGAGGCCAAGGAGCGCCTCCGCCAATTCGACAGCGCTACATCCATCTCCAGCAACAACTACTTCGGCCGGTCCGAGGATGAGATTCCTGCCATTGATGATGGCTACGGTGATCTCGAGGTTGCTGCCAAGGATTTCATCCGCCGCTTCGGTATCACCGCTGGAGATGATATCGAGAACCTGTCGCACATTGTCGGCGAAGGCGCTACCAAGCTACAAGGTATGTAAATATCCCTCTATGATCATGTAAATTTTGCTAATCACGCTTGACTAGGCGCTATTCGCAACTATCTGAACAACTAAGTCAATACCCATTTTCATCAGATACTCCCGCCTTCTATCGCTCCAAGTTCTTAGCAAGCCTCATTGTTCCCCTGTTCACCTGATCCGCGACGTATATTGTGTCTCCCTTTGCCCTCTCCACCCTCTGAAATATTCTTCACCTGAAACCATCGCGATCAGAAGCCGTTCAAAATTTATCTTTCTATTATGATATTCAATTTGGCGTGTTCATGGTGGCACCTTGGCTTCTTCGTGTTTCTTCGCATCCCTTCACAGCAACACCGGATGCACGAAGGAATCTTTTATTCTATTTTTTTCGTTTCGTTGGTATGGTTAAAGATAATCGAGAAATTCGTTATTTGATATTATTCATAGAGAAATGAAAGTATTGACAACCAGTAAAAAGAACAAAACGACTCCCAATTTTGAAGTCCTATACCGCTCTATAAAACTCCCATGATGAATGAAGAGCGAAAAACGCAGTACAAGTACATCAAAGTACAAACCTAACCCAATGTTGAAACAAAAACCGGCCACTGTACAGCCGATGGGTATAAACAGACAAGCGACAGAAAAGCACTCTCATTCAACACGATAAATCGCATCAGCAACCTTAGCAACCTGCCACATCTCATGAACATCATGAACACGGACAATATCCGCACCACCCGCAACACTAGCCGAGACCGTCGCCGCAGTCCCCCAAACCCGATCCCGGGGCGTCGTCACCCCAGTCAAAGTCCCAATAAATCGTTTCCGACTGGGTCCCATCAACCATGGGAGGCACTCAAGCCCAGGCATACCACGCAGTTTCGGCAACTCGCGCAAGATCTCCAGATCCTGAGGCTGGACCTTCGCAAAGCCAAGCCCGGGATCGAGGATCATCCGCCAGCGCCGGATACCCGCTTCCTCGGCAGCGGCGATACGGCCACGCAGTTCGGCTGCTACTTCAGTGATCACGCCGTTCGGGTAATCGTGTAGCTGGTTCATTGTCTGGGGCGTGCCGCGCATGTGCATAAGGATGATTGATTTGCCGATGCGCGCGACTGTGGGCAGCATCTCTGCATCCAGGAGGCCGGCGGAGACATCGTTGATGATGTCCGCGCCGGCGGCGCAGGCTGCTTCCGCTACGCGGGCGCGGTACGTGTCGATGCTTATGGCTATATTTGCTGCTTCCGGGATGTTGGTGCGGATGTGTTGGATTGCTGGGACGACGCGGGCGATTTCTTCGTCTGCGCCTACTGGTGTTGAGCCGGGGCGGGTGCTTTCGCCACCTATGTCGATGATTGTGGCGCCGGCGGCGATCATTTTATGCACTGTCTCTGTTATGTAGGTGAGGTCTGTTGGGGAGTGTTTGCCGCCGTCTGAGAAGGAGTCCGGGGTTAGGTTTAGGATTGCCATTATGTGTGTGCTGCGCTTTGGGTCGGTGGCGTGTAGGGATTGGAAGTTTGGTGAGATTGGGGTTGTTGATACTGGTGTTGGGTCTGGTGGAGTGAGGGCTGCTAGATGAGCGCTGTATGTTTTGGTTTCTTTTCCATTGAGTGGTGGGTACTCGTTGGGGATTAATCTGGGGTGGAGGGTTAGTCTGCTTGGGTGTTGGTATAGGACGCGTTGGGGGCGTACTGGCTGAGAGGTCGTAAAACGAAGTCTCGCTCTAGCATCAGATTGTGTGGGATGTTGAGACGCTCATGAGACACGACTTTTTGATCATAGAGCAAAATGTCCAAATCGATTGACCGCGGGCCTTTGTCGATCAACTTCTTTCTGCCCATTGCGACTTCAATGGCTTGGATGGCGTCCAGAAGCTCCAGAGGTTCAAGAGTTGTTTCAACCTGGGGTTGTCAGCTTCTAGAACTGAAGCATGGGGATTTGTCGTATCGTTGAACTACATACCTCGCACACACCATTGATAAATGTGTCCTGGTCAAGGACATACATTGGCGCAGTCTCAAACAGTGAGCTTGTCCGTTTCACTTTGATGCCGACTTTATCCATTTCGTGACAAGCCTGTTCGATCATCTCTACACGATCTCCAACATTGCTCCCCAAGGCAATAAAAGCCCGGTGCACGTCTGGGGTCAGATATCTCAAGTTCATCTTGGGGTCTGAACGGGTGGCGGGTCCACTGGAGAAATTCCTCGCAGGCGGGGTCAAATGTGGCGAGTTGATCAAGAGCTGCGAGCGGCCATTTCTAGTCAAGAAACCTGGTGCCGCTGTTGATGTTGAGCAATGTTGGCCTACTAAAACTTTTAGTTTTGCGGATCAAATGTAGGTTGGATGTAAGAAAAGAAAAAAAAAATGCGGGACAGTTATCTTTCCCTTTTGGGGTGATAGGCCGATAAGGTGGCGCATACTCAAGCTTGAGGATATTCCCAGTCTATATCTGTTAGAGACAGTCCAATCGATTAAGATCTGTTTACTCTCACCTCGCTGGTCGATAATACTGCCTCAGTGAACCCGGGGTTCCCGGCAATACAGGGGTTCCCGGCGACCTCGCAGATTGCCGAGAGAAAGAGCCTCCGCGAATGTATGGCAATGCATGAGCTCTCCAACTCATCTGTACACTCATGCTGGCAGAATTGACAGACAAATGTACAAAGGAAAAGATCACGGAGGATGAAATGATAGACCCGGGCACGTGAGATGACACGGTTAGATTAGTGTTTAGTGCCTCAGGTGTCTGCCGTCAAACTACAGGAACAACATGGCTATTGATTTCCTATTCTACTCATTGTGGTGTGCTCGGGTCTTTACTTTTCATATGTCCGTCTTTTATGTCCTACAAAGCGTAGATCCTCTCTTTTAGAAAGGGAAGATGCAACCATTTCGGATCTTTTCGGGATCAAGGCTTTAGATTATGTACTCTCGGTGTAGACGATAGTCTAGCCTTACTATGACATTGAGTTGTCTCCAGAAATTTAGTGAGGTGAGTTTAGGTTTCTTTCAACCCCAGCCCGAAATCCCCGGTATACAGAAGGGGCCAGCTGCCTGGTTGATGCTACTGTTTGATGCCTCAGCAGGTACGAAGCAGCCACAGAATGACATGTACTAACTGCCAGCTAGCTCCCTTCTACTTATCCAATTTTCCCGATAAAATAATCATGCGTGGATATGCTCAAGGATCAACAAGTACGATGCAACCCTATGTATGCACCTTCAGACTCGGGCCCCAGGTGGCTTGTCCCAACGAAAGAAAATGCTTTTTTATAAAAACCGCCAGGCAAACTGCATTGAACATAGGCTTGGCTATGTTTGACTTGACACATCAGGGTGGGTGGTCATGCAGATAATGTAGGAGAAGACAAAGAAACTTGTAGGCTGTCAATGCTCGGCGCATCCATTGTGCTGGCTCTCAAACTGCAAGAAGCCATTTACTTACTAGATGAAGTAATAGTTAGGGCTGCCAAAAATAAATATCACCCTAGCAGAGTGGTAGCGCTCTTAAATGTACAATGTGATAGATAGTATTGTTCTTGTTTCATGTAGTGTCGCCCATTGTAGCTCTATTGCTTTACGTTCTTGGACTTCCCGGCTTTTTAAGGTCTCGAAACACTCACGAATGGATATGATATAAGTATTAATATCCTTTGCTTGTAAGATGATCTTGCCCTCGAAGCCGTTCACACAACATGCATGTTTTTAACCTCACCCTTTTTTCTCTATGTGGGCTGCTACTGATCCACGTCAGCACGGTATTAGGCGCCGTTGCACCTGCACCACTACCAGGCACTGACGGAATTTGTTACACATATATCGTTCAAGGCCATGATACGTGTACCTCCATTGGCAAACAACACAGTATTTCTGTGGCCGACATCGAAGCCTTCAACAAGAACTCATGGGCATGGCTCGGTTGCGACAAGCCATTGTACCAAGGTGCATTCATCTGTCTCAGCGCTGGCGCTGCTCCGATGCCAGTTGCACTTCCACAGGCCACTTGTGGTCCCCAGGTGCCTGGAACAACACGCCCGAGCAACTTTGATCTAGTTGGCACTCTTAATCCATGCCCGAACAAGGAATGTGTAAGTGAATTCATGAAGAAATATGTTCAGTATGCATCTAATCTCAATCACAGTGTGCTCCATGGGGAATATGCGGTACTACGCCGGAATTTTGTAGTCCCTCGGACTATACATCACACACCACATCCACACCGAGTCACGCAACTGGCAAGACAGTTACTCAAGCCGCTAAAATAACACAAGCCACTACGAGAAAATCTACAAGCACCACGAAAAAGACCAGCACCATAAAGGCAACCACTACTTCCAAATCAACCAGTACAAAGACAGCATCAACAACAAAAAAAGCAGACAAGACGACAAAAGCCGCCGCTGCTACTGCAACATACAAGGAGCCATGGTCAGTCACACTTTTCGAACAGAAGGACTGCGTAGGAAACTACTATCTCCTAGAAGGATACAACTCAAAATGGGAACAAATGAACCCGACAAGATGTCTGAATCTCAACGGTGGCCTCAACAGTGACTCCATGGGCACCGAAACATTCTGCAAGTTCTACACCGAAGGAGGTTTGCATTCGACTAATTGCGACAATGGTAATTTCACTGCAGTTGAGTCGTGGGTTATCAAGAATGGGTGGTGCTATACATACAATCTGAAAGGCTGTAGTTCGAAGGATCATAAAGATTCGTGGATTAATGACGGCGGTTGGGTCGGGTGTGAGAATCATGGGCCTCGGCATTCACCGCACTATGTCTCTATGAATTGCTTTATTAATAAATGAACTTCAGTATAGTACAGCACCATAGAAAGTGTTGTTCGAGTACAGTAACTCCCACACCTTGTCCCCTTTTCTTAAAGGGCTCACCTTGATCTCGAATAATATCGACCATACAACTAGAAGATATTGTCTTGGTTCGTAAAGCCATGGGAGACACTAAGCTGCTCAGTGTGATCCAACCTGCAATGAGAATGATATTATGCCTATCTCAGTGCCAGCTCATTCACTGAATTGCTCAAAATACCTACATTTCTATTTCTCTCCTTGAAAAGATGTATGTGGGCGCTTCGTGGAAGACGATATGGAGATTGGTTTCAAGTATGAGTTGAGTGTATGGAACTACGAATGATTATTTACGTCTCATTTACTCTTCCGTCATGCAATTGATGAAATTGAAAATGTGTAATCATGCCGTTCAGTCCATCATTGGACGTCAACTAGATGTTTAACTAATGCAGTGTGCGATTTGGCGACGGTGCGAGTCAGTAGGTTCGCTGAGACCTGCTAATTGATACGGTTTCCAGCCGCCAACCCCTACTTCCAGCTCGGGGCTAGCTTGGCAGTCCAAGATACATCTGCAGCCCTTTACAATTGGGTATGTATCAGTGAATTTCTACTTTTCGAGCATCCTCGTTACTCGGTGCAATAGAAGCCGGATCCGGTCGCCCACTCCATGACATTGTGCACTCGAAACAAAAATCACTGGCTCGGTTTTTGAATTTGGGACCGCTTATCTTCTGCTTAGAAGCCTATTCGACATTTCACTGATGCCAGGTTTGCATGGAACTTAAGTCTCCAGTCCTATTGAACACAATGAGGTCTGCCATCTTCAATATCACAATAGATTACTTTTGGCCTGACAGCGCTATGTGTAAATTTAATTTTAACAAGACATCCTTGGAAATTCAAGTACCCGGGTGCGATCATGCCATTTCTTCTGTGGAGGGATTGTTCTCCCCCGTCTCTTCTGACCCAGTTGTTATCTCTGCTGAAGAATTGGAAAATGTCTGTTGCCAGACCCTTACTACCCATTCGAACAATAATTAAGACCCAGTTTACCAGGTATATATATTCGGATGGTGGCATGATAACCTCAGTCAATATTGTTAATGCCTGGCCCTTATTTGACGACTCTGAAATTTTAACGGTGGGGGAAAATATTTTATTTTTATCCTGCCATAGTGTCGATCATTCTGGGGTGTGGCAAGGCATATTCAGAGCAATTACACATATCTGGATGGTCGGTTATGGGAATACAGATAATAGCCGATCTGTCTGCACTTGCCACGGTGAAAGAATCTGAGTTGGAGAAGACGACAAGAATTTAATAATGGACTTGGCAGGTTATAGTGGCAATGGGCAAAATTCGGGATGTTGAAAGGACAATTCTCGGGTGAACAAAGAATTGAAGACATCTCGGAACATGGCGGACCAAGGGTCGGTAGTAACCATGCTTCTCAACGCCAAACCCGATCATGCCATCCATTCTTCCATGTGGTTACTCAGCTTCTTCCTTTTTCCATTGCACCTTAGAGGCTGCCTGCCGTCAAGTTGCCACTCTAGGCTGACGTAAATTCTGTTTCAGTAAACGCCACAAAGGACTGATGTAAGGCTCTCCAATTCAATATTTTCTCAAGCGAGGAGAAAAGCGGTCTTATTTGAGGACCAGGTTGGGTAGACGAATGGATCGAAGTTTTCGAAAGGATGTTCTAGAAGGTTAAAACCGCTGCGTAAGGCGATGACGAGGTGTTCGAGACCAGAGTGGAAACATTAGCCGCAGTTCATTGGTGGTGGATCTAAGGAACGTAACCTTATTGCGCGCCTCCGCATCTCTAATTGTACCATAATTGTAGTCTATCCATTCTTTGCTGGCTATGGTTCACTTTGGGGTTTGGGCTTGGTTGTTGGAAACTTTTTCGATTCCATTCTCCACCATGTAGTATAAAAAGAGCCAGAGTCCGCTGCTCAGGTACTCTTTTTCTTTTCTCTCCATCAGCACAATCTTTTGATCCTTCAAGTCACTCTCTTCTTGAAGTCATTCCATTCTCTTTCGAGGTAGATCCTCATCACTGTCATTCCTGACGACTGTTTCTATCAGAATCACTATTCTTTTCCACCAATTCCATTCACTTTTGCAATCCTGCAATATGACTTTCAACGTCTTCATGACCGGCCTCCTGGCAGCTACTGCCGTCGCCCTTCCCCAGCCCCACTGGACCCGTGATACCGAATCCAACGTCGAGGCCCGCAGCTCCGGCGGCGGCGTCCAGATCGTCAACAACATGGACACCAACGTGTACCTGTGGAGCACCGACTCCGGCCCCGGCTCCATGCAAACCATCAGCTCTGGAGGCGGCGACTACAGCGAGAAGTGGAACACCAACTCCAACGGTGGCGGTATCTCCATCAAGATGTCCACCACCGAGAGCGAGAGCAGCGTCCTCCAGTTCGAGTACACCCAGGACGGCAGCACTATCTACTGGGATATGTCCTCCATTGATCTCGACTCCACTTCTGACTTTGTCAAGTCTGGCTTCACCGTGCAGCCCAGTGATTCGAGCTGCACCTCCGTGAGCTGCGCCGCTGGCGACGCAAACTGCAAGGAGGCTTACCAGAAGCCCGATGATGTGAACACCAACTCCTGCTCTCTTGATGCAGGCTTCACTCTCACTCTGGGCTAAAAATTTCGTCCTTTTTGTTCTTTTAAACAACGGCAGGCCGGTGGAAATTTTGGGTATTCTATTTCTTGCAGAACAATATATATGAATTGATTGTGTTGAACAGCGTTTCGCTACATTTCATTTGGATATAGACATAGATATAGACTAGTTTTGTGAAGAATGTCAATATATCCTTTTTTGATAATATGAATTTTATCCAACTTGACATTTAGTTGGTAATCGGACAAAAGCCCTAAAACCTAAAGCATTCTATGCTCGTGACAGACCAACATTGGAGATATAGATTAGAAAGTAGATTGTAGTCTGTATATCGGGTGACGACTGATGGCGTCTTGTTATATCCTGGAATATTGTTAAAACTTTCAAGGCCCCTTGAGAGCTTAAATTATTTAAATCTCGTAACGGATGTTAGAAATACTCTTCGGTCCGATACGAATCGGCAAACGATCTTGGTTGTACATACATACCCTCTACAAATTTTGATGGTGTAAATTCAAGTTCTGAAAATGAGATCAAGGGTAAAGAGAGAACATTTATCCTCTCAGCATATATCCATGTAATTAGCAGAGAACACAGCTTGAACATGTCAAGTATAAAACAGATGCACGTGATCCCAACCCCGCTGCCGGGGTAGCATCGTGACTAATCTCGGTCAAGTCATGGACCGAGGCTCATCGCGAGTCTGTGAAGCGCCGAGGCTGCTTTGGTTTATAGGGTGGCTGCCTGCTCCTCCTCTTCCCCAGATTTTATCTTTTCATTATCTCTTTGACACATTTGACATCATGGCTTCTCCTCGTAAGTGACCGTTTGAATCACCTTGACCTTGATCGCATCCTCACATGTGACCTTTTTATCACCGATGTTACCGCTGTTACGGCCCACACTGTTGACAGGTGCTAACATGTCTACCAAACAGAGCAAATCCGTACCCCGATCACCGATCTTCTCAAGATCAACCACCCCATCCTGCTGGCAGGCATGAATGTGGCAGCGGGGCCTAAGCTGGCCGCCGCGGTCACAAACGCCGGTGGTTTAGGTGTGATCGGTGGCGTTGGCTACACCCCCGACATGCTTCGCGAGCAGATCACTGAGCTGAAGAGCTACCTGACCGACAAGAACGCTCCCTTCGGTGTCGACCTCCTCCTTCCCCAAGTCGGCGGCAGTGCCCGTAAGACCAAGTAAGAAGATTGCCCGATCGCGCTACCACGGCCCTTTGGTATCAACATAAGGCTAACCACATGTTTTTTAACAGCTACGACTACACCAAGGGCAAGCTCGGCGAGCTCGTCGATATCATCATCGCCGAGAAGGCTAGCTTGTTCGTCTCTGCTGTCGGTGTTCCCCCCAAGGCCGTTGTCGAGAAGCTCCACAGTGCCGGTATCCTCTGCATGAACATGATCGGTCACCCCAAGCACGTTGCCAAGTGCTTGGATGTTGGCGTCGATATTATCTGTGCTCAGGGTGGTGAAGGTGGTGGCCACACTGGTGATGTCCCGACCACCGTCCTCATCCCCACCGTTGCCAAGTTGGTCCAGGGCAAGAAGAGCCCTCTGACCGGCCAGCCCGTGCAGGTTATCGCGGCTGGTGGTCTGTTCAACGGTAACTCTGTTGCTGCTGCTCTCATGCTGGGTGCTTCTGCTGTCTGGATCGGTACTCGCTTCATCCTGTCTGACGAGGCCGGTGCCCCCAAGGCTCACCAGGAGGCTGTCCGCACCTCTGGCTTCGAGGACAACATCCGTACTATCATCTTCACTGTAGGTTTGCCTTGTTTGTCTGTGTATTTGGGTGATCACTAACCGATATTATAGGGTCGTCCCCTCCGTGTTCGCAAGAACCCTTACATCCTCAACTGGGAGGAGAACCGTCACGAGGAGATCAAGGAGCTCACTTCCAAGGGTATTATCCCCGTCGAGCACGACATGGAGAACCTGCCCGATGACGTCGACGACGACACACTTGACAACGCCCGCCCTTACCTGATGGGCAAGGTTGCTGCCGTTGTCAACGAGAAGAAGTCCGCCAAGGCCATCGTCGATGAACTCGTCACGGATGCCGCTGCTCTGCTCCAAAAGGGTAACAAGATGGTTGCTAAGCTGTAAATAAAGAATTCCCCGTATTTTGATCTACATAGTCATTCTCAGCGTTGAATCAAATCCGGTCAGTTTTCCCGGCTCACTTTTGGACTGGACTTGAATACCGTGTAGCTTTGTCATTCCGACTATTTCGAGAAGCCATGCGGGACATGTCAACATGTCAAGCATGTCGTTGCTATTTCTGGCACACGTGGGCCGACAAGGGGTATAAGCGCCTGAGTGGGCCAAGCTTGGACTATCAAGCATATGTTCACATCAAGATCACCTTCGAGTTTAGCTAAGGGCTACTCGATATAAATAGATTCCTGTCCATGTTTTTGATGGCTTTGTTTCCCGTATGTAAATGGTGCATCACATCAAGTTCGCTCTCCTCGTCCACTGAGCCTGCACCCATACTACATGTATACCATGAGAATCAATAGCGATACTCACTTCACACATACTCTGAGTCTTTAATATACCCCAGTCTGCGTCATTCATCATTGATAAAACAAAATCGAATCCTAAAATAACCCGAGACTAGAAAAAAGGCGCATGCATCTACTGTTACCAGCAGGAGATATGTAGCCTTGTGGACCTGGATCGTCTCCAGTTCCAACCTCCCCTCATCATCTCTCTCCACTGTCCACCATTTGATACTTACATCTTCCTTTTCAGGCATCGCAAGCGAAACGTTGGGAGATACCCTCGGACCCCCGTCTCTAAATAAAGCACCACAAGCGCCGTGGCGGGGAATGAAGACCAAGTGACATGGGCCACGCACCAATGATCACAACACCCGGGATGCGACAGACCAGATTCCATGATTGTGTATCCCCGCACTCTATTTCAACTATTTTGTTGGCTTCAGGGTCCAACTGTGAGAGAGTCAAAGCCCAATCCAATGGCTCAACTTGAGAGCACCGATCAGTCCACTGGATATGCACGTCAACCTCCACTCACAGTGCAGTATCAAGAAATGCCTCGTCCCGCACTCTCATTGCTCCAATCGTGCATAAATGCTGCAGGTGAACGGGTTATTTTTGTCGCTCTTCCCTCGGTTTGGCTAGCCTCTCCAGCCCCTCTCTGCAGGCTCTGAGATTTGGGATTTGCTTCCCTGATGCTCTCTCATTTCTCTCTCATTTGCATACCCGCCTATCCGCTTCTGGGATCCAATGTGCTGGGTCCTCCACATCCACACCGTGATCGGAGGTTAATCCAAACTTGTCCAGACTGGCGGTTTTAATCACACCAGCCACTCGCTCTCACCCTGGTCGCTCTGGTCGCCCTAGTCGCTTGTTCGCTTGGTATTTCGCCTTCTATTAATACCTTTTTCCAACATCCAAGGCTTCACTTCGCAATCTCGGAGGCCCGCTCTGATATCGCCTCGTATCACGGCCAATCCGCACCCCGCCAACTCGTCTCCCCGCAGCTCCTCTCTTCCGCTCAGAGTGTTCTTGGCTTGCCCCTTTATCTTGAAGGTTTTTGGTCACACTGACTAACCCCTTGGCCATTGGTGCCAGCGGTTATAATACTGGGATTCTCCTGATTTCCTCCGGACGGTGACCCCCGGAACAGCTCGGTACCTGATCAATTCTCCTTGTGTCCTAGAGAGTCGGATGAGAAGTGCAAGGTCTTCTCGCCGTCTATACCAACCTAGGCACGGGAGGAAAAGCAAATGTGCTCTTAACTCGAGACGATGTCGCTCAAACAAGTATGGATATTGTTGATGTGTCGGAATATGTGGGCTGACGTCGGAATAGGAAATCGAGACTTGGGTACAGGCCCTAGATGCCTACGACAACCAAGAATTTGAGGAGTCCTTGCGGTTCTTTGACCAGATCGCCGATACATCAAAGATCTTGTTCAATTGCGGGGTGATTTATGCGACGTTAGGCGAGCACTATAAAGCGGTAAGTGCACAAGGAGATGCCTGGCCAGATCACACTGACATCGGTGATGCAGGTAGAATGCTATCAACGTGCTGTCGGCTTAGACCGGTATCTAGCGATTGCTTACTTCCAGCAAGGCGTGTCCAACTTCTTGCTCGGGGACTTTGAAGAAGCATTGGCCAACTTCAATGATACACTGCTGTACCTGCGAGGGAACACTTCAATTGACTATGAGCAGTTGGGCTTGAAGTTCCGTCTCTTCTCGTGCGAGGTCTTGTTCAATCGAGGGCTCTGCTATATCTACCTCCGCCAGATGAACCCAGGCATTCAAGATCTTGAATATGCGTCGAAGGAGAAAGTCACGACAGATCATGATGTGATTGACGATGCGATCCGTGAGAACGCAGATGTACGTGAATCTCCTGTCCCCTGTCTACGCAGCTAACCAAATACAGGGCTACACGGTATTCTCAATCCCAGTCGGGATTCTCTATCGTCCTAATGCAGCAAAAGTCAAGAACCTCAAGACAAAGGATTACCTCGGCAAGGCTCGACTGGTCGCCGCGTCTGACCGTAACCAATCATCAGATCACCAATGGAAGCCAATGGTCATTGATAAAGCAGCACTGCAAGATCGCGAAGGAGTATCTTACGCTGCAACCAACCTGGTACACAAAAACCTCAGCAGCCGCACCCGTCAGCACTCCGAACCCCCTCTAAACCGTAACGTATTCCCACCAACACCACCACCAGATGACCGATCCGTCAGCACGGCCTCGGGCTCAGGAAGCCAGTCAGTATCAGGCCACCATCGATCATCTTCCCTCCGAAACGTGCGCCCACCACGCCTAGACCTAGACCGAACAGGTGCCAGCCTAGACCGACGCCAAGAGCAACCGCCCACCGAGAAACCCCGAATAGGCACAACACGCACAGCATCCGAGCCTCGCGGGCCCTCCTCCAAGCAAAGCAACATGCGCGGCTTCGGCCAAGAACCCAGCCGCCAATGGACTCAACAACCCAGCCACAGACGAAACTTCAGCGACACAAACACAAGCACAACCCTCCCATCGGACCAGGAATACGGGCACTACGACCCGTACGACCCCTACACAAGCCAACAACGCAACCTAGCAAACACAGGCTGGGGCCGCGGCTCCCGCCACCAACCACCCCAATACATTGACGAAGAAGAAGAATACGGCAGCGACGCATGCGACGCAGCCACGCTTAATGACGGATCCTTCGAGCTGGTCAACACAGCCACAGCCCCCGGCGGCTCATCCCAACAACGACGCACGCGCTCGCCAACCCGCTTCTCTCGCCATGCCAATCCCCGCAGACCGGAGATCCAGAAATTCCGCACGAAGGTCCATGCCCCTGATGATACGCGGTACATCATGATTGGGCCGTCGATTGAGTTTGCGGAGTTTGAGAATCGCATTCGGGAGAAGTTTGGCTTTAAATGTCCGCTTAAGATGAAGGTGCAGGATGATGGGGATATGATTACGATGGTTGATCAGGAGGATTTGGATTTGTTGTTTACTTCTGCGAGGGAGGTTGCGAGGAGGGAGGGGAGTGAGATGGGGAAGATGGAGGTACGTTCTTGCTTTTCCTAGTTTGGTTTGGTCTTTTAGGTATGGGTTACTGACTTTCTTTTAGATCTGGGTTGAAGAGCGCTCGATGATTTGATGCATGGCGATTGGAATTGGTTTTGGAAATGGGACTGGCCATTGGTTCTTGATGCTGTTTTTATTAGCATACTGATTTTGTCTATACCCTGTTTTGCGTGTTTGGCATGGAGATACGAATGAGAAATATTTGAATACTAGACTTAAACTTGGTATTGTAAGTATGCTGTAGATTCAAACTACCATAACAAGCCAGGTCGTATAGATTAAAGAGGACCTTTGGCGTTCAGGCTTGGTGACATTCATGAGTTCATAGATGGGAGTGGGTCAGTAGATAGGCTTGACCAATCATATGGCCGGTATGTGTATGACGAAATCGATATCGTCTTCTGATATATTGCGAGGAGATTTTCCTGCACTTGCAGACTGCTAAATGGATTGGCCGTACTTTTGGTGGATAGAAAATTACAATTCAGAAGCTAGTTTGTGTCAAAATGCAACGAGAGCAGTAAAAAGGAAGACAAGCCCCTTAGCTCGAATAGCTGGAATGCTAGCAGATTAGTCCATTTAATACACTAGATTAGCACGCTAAATACGAGTATAATTGTAGATACATAGTCTGAAACAGAGCATGGTCCCAAATTATTTACATTTAGAGAACTGGGTTTCACCATCACGGGTATAACCGCGCCAGAATAACGTTGTGTTCGACATCATAGATCGACACCCTGGCATATTCCACAATTCTTGGCTTCCCGGATGAGCTGCCGCCAATCAAGTACCCTGTCAAACTCCAGAATTCGCACTGACACAAGAACCCTGAAAGGATTTTCAAGATCGACGGTGACGAAAGAGTGGAGCTTCCTTTCCAAGATTTACGACAAGCTTTGACAGCTCGACATTTCTGAAATGCGGCGTTGTCTTTGTTTGGCTTTCTTTCTCTTTCGGGTTTATATCGGTTTATATCTGGCATTGATCTGCAGAAATGGCGTTCTCGGAGGGCCAGCAGAATGGAAATCGTGGTGTCAAAGGTAAGTACATGTATCCTATAGATACCCAAGTGCGATCATGTCAAACCACCCACGTAAGAGAAAGAAACCCGACAACTAACAACTTACCAGACACAGTCCAAATACCCGAAAAAGAAGCCCCAAACGGCACCGAAGAAGCAGGCAGCAGAAATGAAGGCCTAGGAAACAACCTATCATTCAGCCTGGCAAACTCCAGCGCACAAAACGGCAACCCCAACAAAAACCAAAACGACACATACCTGGACGATGAATACCAAGACTACAACCCGCAATACGGACAAGGGAACGACGGTCCAACATGGAGTCTGGCGCAGCCACTCCCTCACATCGTGCGACCAGGTATGCGCCACGGCGCGTTACCAGAAGACCGAAAAGAGAACGCAGAAGATCTGAAACGACGGAGCGAAGACCCAAGTCAGAAAAGCGCTGCGCAGAAACAGCAGGTGGCTGATACGCGCGTTAAGCAGAACAAGGATACAGATCAGGAGGGCTTTTTTAATACTTGGACTAAGATTCGGCATTATTTGAGGGAGCCGATGGCTGAATGGCTCGGAGTAAGTATAGTATTCAACAGATATATGGGCAAATGATGGCATTTCCATTTAGCAAAAAGAAACCTTGCTAACGATTCTCTCAGACAACAGTAGCAATGACAATCGGCCTCTGCGCAACTCTCTCAAACTTCACCTCAAACGGCCAAGCGGGCTCCTACCCGGCCCAAAGCGCAGCCTGGGGCTTTGGTTTCATGGTCGCGATCTATACAACAGGTGGTATATCCGGAGGCCACATGAACCCAGCCATATCAATCTCGCTATCCGTATTCAGAGGATTCCCCGCGCGAAAATGCCTCATCTACATCGCGGCACAGCTTCTTGGTGCTATTACCGCTGGCGGGTTCGCGTATGCGCTGTACCATGATGCGATTGTGGAGATTGCTGCCGCATCGAAGGTCCCGCAGAATGCTAGTGCGGCGATGTCTGCGCTTATTACTATGCCGAAGTCCTTTGTGCATCCGGCTACGGCGTTTTTTACCGAGTTTGTTGGGAGTGCTATTCTTATTGGTGCTATCTTGGCGCTGGGTGATGATACTAATGCGCCGCCTGGGGCTGGTATGCAGGCATTTGTTCTGGGGATTTTGATTACGGTTATTATTCTTGCGTTGGGGTATAATACTGGCGGGTATGTATTTCCAGTTTTTGGTTATCATTATGGCTATAGTTATCTTAGATGGGATGTGTTGGCTAACTGTTTCTGCTTGGTAGGTGCTTTAACTGTGCGCGCGATTTCGGCCCTAGACTCGTTGCTCTTATGGCTGGATGGGGTGGCCATCTCTTCCGTGAATACCATGCTTGGTGGGTATGGGGACCATGGTGTGCCGATATCAGTGGTGCATTATTCGGAGCATTAATCTACGACATTGCTATCTTCACAGGTGGTGAAAGTCCCGTCAACTACCCACCACGGCGACGCAAGCGCGCCGTTCGCGCTAGATCATTGAATCTGCGGAAGAAGCTAGGTCTTGGAAAGAGGAGGATTGGAGATCTGGAGAGATCTGTTCGAGAGACTGAAGAGTGATGGGAGCATCTTGTAAAAATAGAAAGGGACGCAGTATAAAGCTAAAGTTGGATGGCAATTTTGTATAACTATTGTACAGTTGAATCGAATTGTTCATTTGGCATCATACGCGCCGAGCGATCGTTTCCGTTGTTTTCTCATGTCGTGCTCGTTTTCTAGGAGTATATTTTGGACACAGCGACTGCCGTTTGGATTGTGCTTAACGCGATCATCATTGAGGATGTTTGTGAGGGTTGCTTTGACTTGCTGCCGGTCACTCAGAAGTGTGACTGAGGTGTGGCTTGGGGTATTTGGATTCGTGCCTGTGGGATCGTCTCGCGTGGAGTATGAAGTGATTGATCGCTTCATGTCTCGGGTGGAGTTTATAGTAGGCACGCTGTTAGACGATGCTGCGGGGTGCATAGTTCGAGATTGATGAGCCATGGTTGTATGAATGTGTGATGGATTCTGGATTGATGTTGACTCCAGGGAGAATTGATTGTCTCTTTTATAAGAACTGTGGTTAGATATTGTCCGATATAAGGGGTAGGCTTGGCCATGTCATCGATGTGACGTGTGCGCGACCCAATACTTGCAGTTATTGGGACTTGGCTGGAACCCTAGTCCTGTCATGGATAAAGGTTTATATTTTGGGTAACTGCCAATTGGAAGCTGACGTTACTTGTTATCTAGAGTTGATACTTTCAAGGGTGAGGTGATCCACCTTGTGATCCATCAGGGTGGCAAGTAAACCGCCACATTACAGGGATATGAACTATCTCAGCTATAAGTATAGCTGAAGGTACATCTAGAATCCAAGGCAATACTGGATAAGCCTTTGATGTCATTATCCGTCTCATGTCTTAAGTCATTTTTTGCTATGGCCTGAGTCTCATTTATACATCATTTCAATGGACATTGCTTGTCATGGCCATGGAATATCACAGAAGTACCTCTGAATCGATGAAAAGACTGATTAAATGTGCAAAAGCTGTTCAGAATGAGAGAAGATTGAATCAGCGCCATATTACAAACCAGCCTGTCTATACGTCATCTCAGAAATCCCAACCAGCAGAACCTCCAATCCAACAACCAACAACATCACCACCAGTTTCCCTAAACCGAACGCTAATCTTAGAAGGACATCCCATGGCGAACCCCTGCTTCACCTCAACACTCTCTTCGGAGTCAAACACCAGCCCATTTTCCAACAACCCAAAAGCCAAAGCCGACGCCGCAATCCCCGTCGCTGCATCCTCTTCATACCCAGCTCCCCTAGGGAACTGCCTCGCCTCGAATACCTGATTTGCTAGGTCGGACACTGCATATGGATAGAGACCTGTGCTGCCAATTACGTCACAGAGGGATGGAAGACGATCAAATTGCGGTGAAAGACCGTTCAATGCCGCAACAGACTTGATCGGAATGAGCGTCTTCACTCTACTCGTTGCTGCATTTTGAATCGATAAACCCGGAACAAGGTCATCCTTCAAGATTCGCAAGACGGACAGTATCTCATCGATATGGTCTTGTCGTTGCACGTTTTCCAACATCTTCGCTGGTGGTTGGGATACTTCAACCCATATCCCTTCCTCTTCGCCGTCACATCCATCTTCATCTCCAGATGTCACTGAGATTGTGGCCTCGACGATACCACTCTTAGTTGCAATCCGGAGGTTGTCTTTCGCTAACATTCCAAGCTTCGACAGTAACCAAACAGCTCCCACGGTTGCGTGGCCACACATCTCCATTTCATGATCTGGGACCCAGAAGCGGAACTCGTAGTCGTATTTTGAGTCCAATGGCGCAGGGAATATGAAACAGCACTCGTGGCCGTGGCTTTTGGCTAGTACTTGCATGTCATTGTCGGTCATGACTTGGGCATCTAGTATGACTCGAAGGGGATTGCCGCCGTTTGGACCTGCGGAGAAGACTCGTAGTGAGTGGGATTTTATAGCCATATTCGAGGAATTTATGATAATAGTTAAAAAGAAAAAAGAATTCAAAGCAGCGAAATAAAAAGAAACCTATTCGAGTAGCAGTTCAAAGATCAATAGAGATATGCAAACATGCCCTCTATAAAATGCAGGACGCGGCACGGACCAACCACGCACAGTGACGTTGAATGTTGACGAGCTTCACCTACAGACCACATCACCAACAATGACCGACCTAACGCCCACCCTAAACAGCCTCCTATCCAAGCATGGCACCTCCACCTGCGCAAGGCCCACTACCAAAACAGCAGATGAATTCCTAAAAGAGGCATACCGAATCGTAAGTCAGCGCAACGCCGAAGCCAGAACCCCCAGTCCACGAAACATATACCCTAACAAAACCATTCAGAACTACCACATAACCTCCCTCCTCCACTACCTCCAAACAATCCGACATGCATACCTCTCAACAACACCCCAACGCCGCAATGCCAACGCACCCACATCACAACCAACCAACCCAACCCTCCCACCAACATCTCAAACCCTCACAGACCCAGAACGCGACACAATAGACACACAAACCTCCCTCCTCCTCCGCGACCTAGCAACATCCCTAACAAACCTTTCAAGCGCCGAAACCCTGCGCCAAGAAACAGAACAAACCCTCCTCCGCAAGAAATACGGACACAGCGCGGCCAGCGCGCTCCTCTTCCGCTGGGCGGGCGGAAAAGGCGTCACCGATGAAACGGGGAACGAGGGTAAATCCGTGGAACAGGTGACGGCCGAGGAGAGAGCGCGCGCGCTGAAGACGGTGCGCGAGGGCGTGCTTTGGTTTTTGAGACGTGGATTGGAGGGTGTTGTTGGTGTCCAGAGAGGTCTTGTTGAGAAGAGGATTGAAAGGGTTAGGGAGAAGGAGAAGAGTGTTCTTTACAAGGTTGCTGCTGGGAGGGATGTTGGTGGGAGTGCCAATGCCGGTGGGAGAGATGCCGGGAGGAGGGGGAGTGAGAAGACGGGCGGATATGGCTCTGGGACATCGTTTGATCCTTCTTTCTCGGCGCCTGATGCGAGTACACTCAGTGAAGCGGATACGGCGCGCATCGAGGCCCAGCTTTCGCCGGAGCAGTTGCAGCTTTTTGCTGAGGAGAATGATACTATGTTGAGGCATTATGAGGATACGTTGGGGAAGGTGCAGTATGTTTTTTACCACTTTCCTATTTTCCCATTTCTCTTCTTCTGGTGTTTTCGGTGCTAACGTTGTTCTGCATAGAAATGCGGAGAAATCACTCCTCGAAATCTCATCTCTGCAAGAGACGCTCGTTACGCATCTTGCTACGCAGGAGGAATACATTACACAGCTTGTTTCGGATGTTGATACGACGCAGACGAATGTGGGCCAGGGCAATCGTGAGCTGAAGCGGGCTACTGAGCGGCGGAGTACGGCGCAGGCTGTGTTTTGGGGGACTGTTGGGTTGTGTACTTGGCTTGTTGTTTGGGATTTGGTTTTTTGATCTCGATCTGATTAGTTTTGATACCATTGAGCAATACAGCAAAAGCAATAGCATAGCAATAGCATTGGAGGCATATCATGTCAATTATGGAGTACATATTTCTTGGCCAAGATCAGGATCTTGATCTACTTTACTGACTACAGTATGCCAATTGACTACACTGGAAGAAATAGTCTGCAATCATGTCTCAATATCTATCTTAACTTAACATGTGACACATGCATGCCATAACTTATACGATACATAACCGGACCCACAGATCCATAATCAAGAATCAAAAGACGTCAATAGCAGCAAAAGCAAGTAATAAAAAGTAAACGCCAAACCAAGCTCGCGGTCTAACCATTGAACCCAGCCAAAAAGGTATCAGTATCAGTACCAGTATCAATATGAATATCATCTAAGCCGAACCCCTCACAACACTATCGACAGCCTCGGCAAAGTAATCGATATTATGAGTATTGAGACCAGCCATCGAAATGCGCCCATTCTTCGTCATATAGACATGCCACTTCTCGCGCAGCGTCAAGACCTGCGCCTCAGTAAGCCCCGTAAAACTAAACATGCCAATCTGCGAAGTAATATGACTCCAATCACCAGGCGTGCCCCTCTTCTCAAGGCGCTCCCGCAGACCAGCCCTCATCTCCAGAATCCGCCCACTCATAGTGCGCAGGTCATCCTCCCACTCCGCAAACAGAACGGGATCATTAAGCACGCGACTGGCAATGCGCGCACCATACGCAGGCGGGTTCGAGATCTCCGACCGCTGCAGGATAGCCAACTGCGAAGCGATATTCGCCGAGGAAGCAGCAGCATCGGGACCCGGCGCGGAAACGAAATGGAAGGCGCCCGTGCGCTCGCCGTACAGGCCGAAGTTCTTGGCGAAGGACTGCGCGACGCACAGTTCGAAGCCTTGCTCGACGAAGTAGCGGATTGCCCAGGCGTCGCGGGCAAGATCGCCTGATGCGAAGCCTTGGTAGGCGGTGTCGAAGAAGGGGAAGTGGGAGCGTGCGCGCATGACGGCTGCGATTTGTTTCCATTGGTCCTGGGTTGGGTCGACGCCTGTTGGGTTGTGGGCGCAGGCGTGGAGGAGGATGATTGAGCCCTCGGGGGCAGTCGTGAGGGTTTGCATCATGCCTTCGAAGTCGAGGCCCTTGGTGCTAGCGTGGAAGTAGGGGTATTTTGCGATTGGGAGGTTGACGTTGGTGAAGATTTGGTTGTGGTTTGCCCATGTTGGGTTTGAGAGGTAGATTGTTGGTTTTTGGGGGTGGAATTTCGAGAGGAAGAGGCCTCCTAGGTGGACGGCGCCTGTTCCGGAGATTGTTTGGAGGGAGCAGATCTGGGGGTGTTAGTTAGTTTGGGTGTCTTCGAGGGTTTGGTTTGGTTGGAGGGGTTATAGGTACATACTCGCTTGTCTTTGATTGCGGCGCTGTCGGCGCCTACAATGAGTTTCTGGGCGGCGGAGGTGAAATCAGCCAGGCCGCCGATGGAGAGGTATTCGTGGTTGAGATTGGGATCATTGTGGATGGCGTTGTCGGCCTTCTTCACAACAGGGAGAATCCAGGGCTTTGCGTTATTGTCGCGGTAGGCACCAATACCCAGATCGACCTTCTTATCAGAGGGGTCCTCACGATAGGCCTTCATCAGACCAAACAGAGGATCTTCGGGCGCAGCAGCCACAGTGGCTGCGGTGAATACTGAAGGATTGGAAGAGCCCATGATGTGTGATGTGATGGAGGAAAGACGGTCGTGAGGGGAAGAAGAAGACATGTTGCGAGTGTTTTCAGTTATATAAGAGGGTCAATACTGTAATTTCCCCGGAATCTGACACCGAAACGGAATTTGCCTGTTTGCGGTCACCGAATGAGGGGGTGGGGAATCAGGTTCAAAGTGATTGTCATCAAGTTCAAAAATATACTAAGTACGTGAATATACAAGATCTCTCTTATATACTCTATATCTCTCTCTATCCTCGGTCTCAACATACCGAGGAACCCGCAATATCCTCGTCCCGAGTTCACATGCTAAGCAAGTGTAGCCGTCAAGTATAAAGCCTTACCCATATACATACACACCCATACTGTACACACACTGTACATTGAATAGAATTGTCTACATGTACGTGATAAAAACTCTGCGACAGGCCACACACGCCGACCGTTGTGTCATACGCCGAAAAAGAACGCACTGTGGAGACCAGGAACACATCGCATGAGTCTTTGGTCTCCGGGTCAGGGGTTATCCTATACATGTTTACGTATATTTTCTTCTCGATTCCATCATAAGTTAACTTACATAGTATTTTAAGTCACTTAGATAGTAAGTTAAGTACTAATGTCAAGTTAGTTGTTAGTAATGTTACATGCGGAGTGACCACCCTACTTATCTCCCGAATAGTAATTTTTAAGAACCCCACACTTTGTGAGGAGTAACCAAGACGAGACCAAGACCAAGACCGGGACCTTGAGAATTCAGACCGGAGAAGGAAAACGGAGAAGGGAAACGGAGTAACGATTAAGGCGGACTGGAGTCCGTCTCCAACCGTTCCCCACACCGGGAGGGATTTTCCGGATGTTGGAGATGGCCAGTAACTTTTTAAGGTATATGGTATGATGTATGGTATATGGGACGATAGAGGCTATTATGATGTTACTGGGAATAATATGAGCAACTACCATAATACATAACCCATAACTACATATAACGTTAATCACAAACATCCTATCTAATACACCTATGTCAAGTGAAGCAAGGATATTTGAAACCACATCGGAAGTGCATATATCCCTCATACTTAGGGCTATCCAAATCAGACCGGGACTGCATAATACATAATACACAATACATGCGTATCACGGTGACAGCCGCTGATGCAATCGGGCAATTGGCAGATGTCCGAGTGTCGAGAGGATTACCCCAACCGAACTCGGAGTTCCTGGCGATCTTACCATGTCGTATAGTCGATGATTTAATCGTTTGGGTTTTTGTTAGTAATATCTCTGTTCGTATTTCAGTCATATTAACGATCCTTCTGTTCTCTTTCACTCTCCATGGTCTGGTACAGTCTATTGTTCATCTATATCAGGTCCATGGTTCTAGTTCGTGTCAGTCTGCTGACCTTGCACAGCCCATCTCTATAGTGCTGGATAACGCGTGTACAGGATAAACGGTAAATGATAAATGTACATGTGAATGGAAATGGCCCGTGATCGATGATGCCTGCTCTGTCTAGACTAAACCTAATGACTTCTGATCGATACACATTGACTTTGTAGCCGTATATCCACGTGTCAAATTGAAATATATGTGATCTACAGCTAAATCCCAAATATACCAAACATGCATGTATATGCAGAGAAAGAGAAGACAAAATAAATCACAAGATCCTCTTTTCCTCAAGAACGCCGCGCAGATTCCTCAAACTTGAAAATAAACATAAACATGAACATGAAAAAACGCCATGTAGCCTCCAAACCGAGGTCCTCATCATAACATAAATATGTGCAAACGTAAAGGAGTGATATGTAAGAAATCAAATCAAATCAGAACAGATCAAGATGTCGTATGAGCAGGCGCAGGGGCTGCAGGCATCGAAGAAGGCCCACTCTCAGCCTCAGCCTCGCTGGCCGGGGTATGAGTCTCGGCTTCAGGCTCGACGCCGTGGGCGCGCGTGCGGATGCGGAAGCGATCGCGCAGGCGGGTGGTGAGGCGGCGGCGGGTGCCTTCTGGGGTGGGTTCAGCTTGGTCTTGGCCTTGGTTTGCTTCGCGGACGCGGCGGAGAGCGGCGAGGCGCTCTTCCACCGTGGCGTCGCGCATGCGTCGGGCGTTGAGGGGGCCGTGCAGGTAGTTGGTGAGGCGACGGTGTGTGTGGCGGGACGCTTGAGTTTCTTGGTTGGCGGGGGTTGCTGGTTCTTGGTGTTCACCTGTTGTTTCGGTTTGTTCGGTCTCTTCCTGTGGCGGGTTGAGATCGATACGGCTGGGTTGGTCAGTTTATACTGTGAAATGAAAGGGATGTATGGATGTATGGCTTACCAGAGGGGACAGGTGCCGGAGACATTCATCAGCCAGGGGTCAATGCATTCCATGTGGAATTGGTGGTTGCAGGGTAAGACACGTAGATCTTGGCCCTTGACGAAGTCGTCCGTGCAGATCGGGCACGAAAAGTTGCCGGTTTCAGGTGTCTCGGTCTTCTCTGGGGCAGCAATTGGTGTGTCCTCGACAGGAGTGGGAAGTTCGGACTCGGTCGGCGTCGAGTGTCCAGTGACACCGTCGCGCGATGGGGAGTGCTCGCGGGCGGGATCATCGGGACCGGCGGACATCTCAACGTCCCGCTTAGCGGCATCGATTTCGTCATTGTTCTCGTCGAACTTGACCACTGGGATAGTGTCCAACATGGCTCGGGCTATACCTCGAGCTCGACTTTGCCGTACTCGTCCGGCGATACGACGAGGTCCATAGCGTTCTGGATGCCGATGGGCCCGGACGGCACCAGTGATGATAATTCCCAGGAACAGTGCCGTGATGATACCAGTAATGCTGTACAGGATGATCATAGCTGAAACATGTTAACAATTGATCGCTCCATCAACGCTCCATCGTCTCGCACATACCAGTGTTAGGACTGTTGCCGGACCCCCCGGAATCCCCGGTATCGGTCGGGACATTGGTCATCAACGACATTGAGACGACGGCAATGGTAGGAGAGGCTTCTGTGAAAGTACGCTGCAGCGCCGACCAGGCACCTGGGCCTGTAAGGGTAAAGATGTTATTGTACCGGGCGGTAGTCTGGTCATCGGCTGTAAAGTTACAATGCGATGAATATCGAGTGTACAACAGCACGGCTGCAGGAAGGGCAGAAGCAGAGAGGACAGTCTGAACTGTCTCGTCCAAGGTGTAAAAGCCGGGGTAGTCGTCCGGATCACAAGAGATACAGGCGATATCCGAATCAGTCAGCGAGATGGAATTGCCCGGTTTGACTTGCGTGGCAGTGCCAGACTGATTGAAGGACTGGAATATGTCAGCATTGCAAAGATAGCCTTGGAGCCCATTGGACCGACCTGGAGGTGGGCGCTGGTCGCTCCAGAGAGGGCCTCGGTTAACGGGGCAACTCTTTGACCGGTGAGATTGGAACCCTGAATGCGAAATCCGCTAGAGTGAGTAGGGCTCAAATCAGTGATGTTGGAAGGTAGAACCACAACATCGGCCTGCACGGAGATGAACAGGAGAAAGAGGAAAACCAGCCCCATTGTAATGTGTGGGGGTTTAAGGAAGAGAAGAGTGGAGGCCTCCAAGGTGCATAAAGGAAAACCGGAAAATGAGGGGACTAGGGCCGATCGGTGGAGATGACGATAAGAGTCTTTTCTTTACGAACTTACAAACTAAGTTGATTTCTATACGGAGCTAATTTAGTTGATCTCCCATCATTTACTTCTTTTGGATACTCTGTACATGTACTCCAGTACTGTAGAATTTGTCGATCAGGCATATGTAATCACGATCGTCGCCAAACCGTCCATGTCCCTCAAAAATGGTCCTAAGGAGCAATGATCCCGATGTGATCGACCTGGGGTTAATGACATCTGGTACGTCGCTCTCGTATTCTCCGCGAGATTTGCCCGTTTAGCCGCTAATCTGTTCCCCCGAGACATTTAATCTGACACTTCATAACCCCCTCAGAAAGAAAGAAAGAGAAACGGAAAAATGAAAAGAAGAAGAAATAAATAAATAAATAGATGCAAAGGAACTGCAAAGGAACAGAACTAAAACTTAATTAGACTAGGAAACGAACACCTGTGACCCGCCCCCAGATCTTGTCTATGCTAACTATCTACTAAGGGAACTTATACTAAGTTATGTCTTATTCCACTAACTTATATAATACTATACTATATATACACTGTTATACCAGGTCATATTCCTAAATAGGTGCCAAAAGGCCAGGCCTCGGCCTTCAGAAAAAGAGAGGAAAAAAAACCGGACCAAACAGTGTAACTCCACGGTATTAATAGATTCTTTCTAGCTTCCCCTTCTTCCTCTCTCCACTCCTTTCATGTTGAAATGTCCGCCATGAACTGGCCCCAGCGTTATGATGCGAAATCTGTCTCTTCGTAAGACCCCCTATTCCTCCCCCCCTGTACTTTGCTGACTCTCCAGGATTCCTGCGATCGCAGAACTAGATATTGAAAGGAACGAGTTAGCTCATACCTGGAAACGCTTCATCAGCCTACTCGTCCCGCAGGATCAAGTCGAGTTCGAGGAGCGACCACAGACCGGACACGATGTGCAGACTCTACTTGGAAATATCAAGGCTTTCTGGAGGTCGCGACCACGAAATAGAGTCTTCTGCGACTCCATGGACTTGTGCGATCGACTCCTGCCGACCATAGACACCCACGCGACCCTCCTTGCCAGCCTCCCCGACTCCCAGTCCTACTATACCCCCCTGTTATATGGCGTGCTCCAGTCAGCGATCAAGGTGCGTAGATAGCGCTTCCCAGAGACCGTCGCATGGCTAACATCCAGCTAGGCCTCGTCACACTACCCCCGAGTGATGGAGGGCCTAGCCACCGCCCTGCTGAACATCCACGACGCAATGGGCCAACCCGACCCCAACTCCCTTCAGAATGCCGTTCAACCGATTGCGAAAACCTACGCGCTAATATTTTTTTTCCTGACCGAGTTCATGGACTGGTATGTCCGGCGGTCTACGTGCCAACTGCTGAACATCCATAGCCAAGATGTCTACTCCGAGTTCCACCACTTGGTCATCT